CTTTTAAAGTCACCCTCTGCAGCTATGAAATAAATATCTAATACTGTATGTACAGTAAGTGTTGTGGAGGTTAAATGACACTCATATGGCATGGTGTTGGTACATAATAGGTGACCAGTAACTAACTGCTGTCACAGTAAGGAAGTGACCTGGCTTGTGAAATAATCGTATGCATTGGACCTAGATACTCTGGAACTTCAGGCAACCTGATTTCTCAGATTTTAAGTCTCCTATGTGTTAGGCTTGAACGCTAATGGCTTTTGAGGAGCAGAGCTAGTGTACACAAAGTAGCTTCTTTGTAATAGGGACTGTATTGATTATCACTTATTCCTGGGTCAGCAAACTGCCAGCCATGGTGATGAGAACAAGAGGCAGAAATTCGCTGGCCAATTTAGGGTAAAAAGACCCCAAAAGAAAAATGACAGTCTCTTTCTAGGCTAAGAACTAGAAATTTCCTTGGACCTACCAGTCTATTTTTCTCTACCTGGGGCTAGAGATGCCAGAACTAGCTAAGCCAAAGATCTTTCTTGTTCCACCATAGCTAGAGGCTAGAGATGCCAGTAAGGGGGTCTGGTTTTTTGTTTTTTGTTTTTTCTTATCTCTTTGCCCTGAATACTTACTCCCTGTTCCTGGGAGACTTGCTGAGGACATAGCCAGAACCCTGAGGGACCTGGACATCTGGAATGAAACTGGACTGACCAGCTCATCTCTCCCTCCCCACCTGCTTCCACTACACCTTATTAACTCCCAAGAAATGAGACCCAATCGAATCCCACTCCTGAGGACCCCTCCTTCTCTACAGGAGCTCTACCTTCCTTCTCTCTCCTAAGCTCTTTATAATAAAATTCTTCTTTCTAAAACTCATCCTCTATGGTCTGTGCATTTCATTGTTTGAATTTGTGAGACAAGAATCTGAAAGCCTCTGGTTTGAGGTGGCTTTGGTGGCCTTTGAGTTTCCAGGACCCTAGCCTCTCAAGCACAAGAGAGCAGAGAAAGGCTCTTTCACTCTCAAAGACACCCTGATATTCCCATATCAAAGGGACAATTCTGCCAACCACCTGTTTATTATGGAATGAGAGCCAAGAATGGTTGAACATTTTGAAATGACTGGGGGGATAAAAGAGTATCTTGTGAAAATTGAAATTAGGTTTCAGTGTCCCTAATATTTTCTTTGAACACTATCAAGTCATTGTGTTTGTGTTCTCTAACAGTTTTTTCACAACAGTAATGTGAGTAGTTATGTTAAGGTAAGGCAGCAAAGCCCAAATGCTGTTGCCTGTACCTTTATTAAAATGCCTGCCTTGTGGCTGGAGAGACAGCTTGGTGGTTAAGTGCTCACCCTGCTCTTCCAGAGGACCCAAAGTTGGGTTCCCAGTACCCACTGGGGTAGCTCATTGCTCCAGGGGATCAGATGCTCTCTTCTGGCCTTCTCAGGCCCTGGCACTCAGGCGCAACCCCCCACATGGTATGGCGGCTAACAACCATCTGTAACTCTAGTTCCAGAAGATCTAACATCCTCTTCTGCCCTCTGCGGGCATTGGATGACATGGGTGCACTTACATACATGAAGGCATAACACGCACACATAAAATAAAAATAAATAAATAAAAATAAAACAATAATTTAAAAAGACTTAAAAATTAAATCACTAAACCTAGACACCTTTTTATCTGTCCATTACAAGAAATCATTTTGTTTTTATGGAGCTTTGAAAGAACTGGATTAATCAGAAGGTTTGGTACAGATCATGTCTCACCAAAGTGGATTAAAGGTTCAAAGAACAAGTTTCATTTATATTCAGAATTCTGCCAGAGGCAACAGGTTCTGGCCAAGACTTCTCAGTTATCATTTATAGAAAGCATATCCAAGAGGCGCCCTAAGGCCAAGGATATGGCTTTTGTAGATGATTAAATATTCAGTTTTACAAGCTGGAAGTTAAATCCTTGGCAGCTTGAAACTTGTTCATTCTCTGGTAGAGCAAGTAGCTAGAACTGGCCAATACTGGGGAGTTAAATGAATGCTAGGAATCAAGGCTTGCTCTGATCCCTACCTAGGTGGACCATTGATATTTTTATTACTATTATTTTTATTTTATGTGTATGAGTGTATTTCCTGCACGTGTGTGAGTGCACCTGTGTCATGCAATGCCCACAGAGATCAGAAGAGGGTGTCAGATCCCAGGAACTGGAGTTATAGATGGTTGTTAGCTGCCATGTGGGTGCTGGGAATCGAACCCGGGTCCTCTGTAAGAGCAGTCAGTGCTCTTAACCACTGAGCCATCTCTCAAGGCCCTGGGTCATTGATTATGTTTAAATGAAATATATTCATTACAGTTTTTTGAGGGGGATGAAAACATTCTAACATTGACTACAGTGATAGTTGTACAACTTCTTAAAGATATTAAAAATTATTGAATTATACAGTTGAAAAGAGTGCATTTACAAAATGTAAAATACACCTCAATTTAGTTATTAACCCAAATGCCTCCAAAACTTCCAAACACAATACTAGAATGTATTAGTGATTTAAAATTTAAGGTCACATCCAACAGAATTAAAATAAACAATAAAACCAACCACACTTAACATAACTCCAGAGAATAAACATGTGTGCTGTGATTCTCAATTTCAGTCTCATTTTAGAATCACATAGAGGGTTGTAGACACCTTTTGTCTGGTGTGTGACCTAGACACCAAGAATTGACATAAGACATAGACCCTGGAAGCTGGTAAGAGAGCTTGGCTTACTCAGCATGTCCAAAGCCCTAGGTTCATGTCCCCAACACCCATAAAACCAAGTGTAACGGTGTACTCCCATAATCCCAGCACTTGGGAAATGAAGGCAGGAAGAACAAGAATTTAAAAATCGGGGCTGGAGAGATGGCTCAGCAGTGAAGAGCACTGGCTGCTCTTGCAGAGGACCTGGGTTCAATTCTCCGGACCCACTGACAACCATCCTTAACTCCAGTTCCAAGGGATCCGATGCTCTCTTCTGACCTCCGTGGGCATTGCACAACACAGGTGCACTTACATACATGTAGTGAATACACTCATACACATAAAATAAAAATAAATAAAATATTTCTAAAACTTCTATTTGAGTTTTAAAAAAAGAAATTTAAAATCATCCTCAGTTACAGCTTGAATTGGAGCCTGAGCTACATGAGACTCTGTATCCAAAATAAAAACAAGAACATAAACAAAACAACCAAACCAAAAACTCCTTGGCCCTGTCTAGTGTACAGTGAAGTTGAGCATTGCTCATCATTATAGAAACCAAACGTGTACATTTAATAAATTTCCAGGTCTTCTAAAATAGATTAGTGTGGACACAAATGCACCATTTGTTTGGGTACTCTAGACTTAGTATCAAGTGTCTATTCTTTGTCTAGGGAGGGAAGTGTGTGGTTCACCTGTACTGGCTTCAGGTTATCCCAAGCAGAGACGAGTTCACCTGTGTCCTCTGAGTGAGCCAACAGGTTTGAAGCACAGATCCTGGGTTCCAGCATTTGTTGAATTGAAGGGACAGAGTTGGCTACTTCCTGACTGTGTCTTTTCCTTTGGGCTTTCTTACTGCAGTGGTCTAAGGAGAAAACAAAGCTGCAAAGCCTCAGGATGTACTAATCAGTGAAGCTGTAGCTTTAATGCTGGACTCTGTGACCCCAGGTCTGATGCTCGCTGAGGGGCCTTTTACCTCCTGTTTGAGATTCAAAGTACGAAGAGGTCCTGGAACTCTGCGGCCAAATAAAAGGTTCCTTTCTTGAAAATTCAAGCTGTCTTATCTGATTTACCACATGAAGGTGTGGTCCATGCCAAAGATCTTAGTTTTATGTCTAAATACAGGAATTACTGGGAACTATTTTTATATACTTTATTATTATTATTATTTTATTATTATATTGTGTGTGTGTGCGTGCGTGTGTGTGTGTGTGTATGCAAACTCCAGCCATTAGGTCTGGTGGCAAGCACCTTTACTTGCTGAGCCATCTGATGGGCCCCATGAGAACTTTTACAGTAACAGCACATAAAGATACAATCTCTACATGGAGATTTCATCTTACTTCTGTTTCTCGCTGTTAAGACAGAGCCTTTGACAGGTAGGAGCCTCAGCTTTGCCATTTCACTGATGTGACAGATAAGGAAGCTGTTTAAAGCTCTGTGGTGCTTAGTTTTATCCTTTGTAAGAAGGAGACAGCAGTTCTTATGACTGGGTGTGAGGAACATTTCTAGCTACTTTATGTAGACAACAGGTGTAGCTTCCCCCTCTCTGGAAGCATGTGTCTTGGTGCAAAGTTCAGTTTGCCTAGGAAACCTTCCTCCTTGTGGGGCTCTTGCTTCTTTTTTAATTGTCCCAATGAGTACTGTCAACTGGCTCCCTTTGCATAGGCAGGACTCTGATGACTTCACCTACCTAAAGATGCACCTATCTGATGCAGAAATTTGATCTTGTTCCTGGGTTGTGGCTGTATAAAAGGCCCAGTGCTGGCCCTACAAAGAGACACCCATGCAAGAGCTCACAAGGGCCTGGTCAGAAGAAAGATCCATGTAAACTAGATTGCTGTAGGACTTCCTCATTCTTGCTATGAAAAAAATCTCTCACTTGTAGCAGGGTATCCTTTCTGTTTATGGAACCAGCAACACACTTCACTGCAGACAGGCAGGGCTTAGAACTCTTCAAAGACACATTATTTACCAGGCAGAGCAACATCAAAGAAAATAGGCAACCTTGACTCACATCCCAGGTCTGTCCCTACCATCCAAGAATGCTCAACAGTTGACTTCGGCCCTACACTCTCAATCTACCCGTTTTCACTTTTGGAAAGGTGATCTATGCTTTTACAATGAATCAGTGGCCTCAAAGGAAGATTCCTGCTGGTTACAAATTAATAAAGTGACCGTGGTAGAGGAGCAGGATGGCAGAGAAGGCACACGCTGAAAATACTCATTGATCAAAGCAAGCTTTTGAGTGGGAAGTCAGGTTCACCGAAGAAGCACTCTTACCCCAAGTCCTGGAGTAGGTCTGCATCCAGGGGTCTGCTCCACACATCTGTGGGATTCGGGGCACTCATTTTCCCTTCTAGAAGTTCCACTCTGCCCATTCGCTCCCTTCCCTTTGATTGCTGACTCCCTGCCAGATACTATGAGAAGGAGATGTGCACTCCTCACACACAGCTCCTCAGTGAGATAGGAGCCTGCTGTGGCTGGATCTCCAACCAACCAGGAAGTGAAACTTGGTTGCTCCTCCCACTGGCAGCACCACCCAGGGCCCGAGGCACCGGCAGGAGCATACTGTCAGTCAGGAACTATGCAAACTCAGACAGTACCTCTGACACCCACACTGTATCACCAGCAGCCAGTTTCTACCAAAGACAAGAGAGCCTAGCCCACCCACCTGGGATTGGAATATTGTAAGCCAAACTGAAGCTTCTCCCTAATGCTGTTGGTCTGTGGCTTATAGAAGAGGGTGTAGGCACACACTTGCCCACCTTCTGTTCTGTCTATGGTAGCACAAGAACACTGAGGAGACTTCCACATCAGAAAAATCTTTAGAGTTGGTTCACAATTTATAGTCCAACTACCACTTCAGTCCTAGAGTTTGTTTCTAGTACAGTGTCAGTATTGCTGCACAATTACCTGTACTTTCCCATATCCCCTTGATGCTTAGGTTGGTGGCTGATTCACAGACAATGATTGTTTCTTCCATGGAAGAAGGACTGAGGGCCAGTGCTGTAGCTCCACTGGCTAGCATGCCCAAAGCTGTGCGTTTTATCACCAGCACAATGTAAAACCCAGGATGGGGGCATACTTATGATCCCAACACTCGGGAGATGGAGGCCGGAGGATCAGAAGCTCAAGGCCACTCTTAGCTAAGTGGTAAGCTTGAGGCCTGCCTGGGCTACATGAAACCCTATCTCAAAACAGAAACAAAACCAACCAACCAACCAACCAGCCAACCAACCAACCAACCAACCAACAAAAGTCCAAGGAAAAAGACTGGGTGAGAAGAAGGCAGAAAAACTTACAGCATAGCAACCATCCTGGGTCTCCCACTGGATCATAGTAGAACTCACCGGGCTGACCTCTGCTGGAGATGCTGGGGTTCCCAGACTCCTGTGAGGGAGGGAGGAAGGAATTCCTTCTGCCTGGAAGTCTGAAACCATAGTGACTCAGTCCTTGTCGAACAGAGTGCATCATCCTTGGGAATGGCATGACATGCTTGAGTGAGGCTCATAGCTGCTTCCTGCCTTCTCTCTGTATGCGACCTCAGGAGAACCCTCCTTTATCACCCCATGACAAACTGGGGTTCACCGGGGTGCTACTGAGTTTGATATAATAAAAACCTTGTTAGAATAAAGAACTTACCCAACATGCTAAAGTTTGAAGAATATCAAACCTAGCTCCACAACAGGAGGACTTAGGTTGTTGGCAGAGACTGCTGTTCTGTTCCTAGGAGTACTCTCTGATCTCTGCTTTGGTTCCTCAGGCCCTGGCTTTCACTGGTTGCCGGGGAGAAACTCCCCAGTGCCTCCAGACAGTCTGGAAGAATATGCTTCGATAATACACCAACACCTACAATTCCTTTGGTGAGAGGCGTTTGCAGGGAGGGGTGCAAGGTGCACTTGGGCAGAAAAGGCAGAGACAGTGGGACAGCCCTGCGCCAGATTTCTTGTCCCCTTTTCCACAGCTCTTTGTTCAGTGTTTTACTGGCCTTTTTTGTTCCCACTTTAGAAATCCTGGGAGGGAGGTGACAATTGGCTACCTTCCCTGCTTTTCCCCTTTCTCATCCTACTGTCCCATCTACTACCTTCTCCTTTGATGACCTTCTTTGATCTACAGACACTCCTTATCTATCCCACTTCCCAAGGCATCCCACCCTTCCTTGGAATGCCCTGCCTTGCTAGCCTCATATTCAGTACTGCCACAGCACTGAGAGAAGGTTTCAACAAAATGCTGGGCATGCCTAGAAATCTTTGACAATGTATTTTTTTTTTTAAATCCTAACAAGTTTATTGGGCTTGCTAACAGAACATAGGGTGGAGGTTTATTTACAGAAGAATGGGTGCCCCCCCATTTACTGCTGAGCTGGAAAGTCCACACTCAAATATAGATACTGTGACTTCCAACAGCCACACAAAATGGCAAGAGAGGTGCCTCATGACATTGACATGCTTGGCTTATATATCCTTAGTCCTTCCCCCACATGCAGCTAAGGTCGACTGATTGGGTGGGAGGGGAAACTGACTCCCCCCTCAACTCCTTGATGAGTGTGGGAAGGAGGCATGACTATAGCTTGCCGGCATAGTGGTCAGAGGACACTTCCAGGTAATACTCCACCCCTTCCTCTGGCTCTTACATTCTTTCCACCAACCTCTTCTGCAAAAGTCCCTGAGCCTTGGAGGGGGTAATAGGTGTGGGATGATCTTCCTCCTACTGTGGCAGGGCACTGAACTCTTGGATTTCTGCATAATCTGTTTTTCATGGGCTGTTGGCTCATCTCAGTGGGATTCCATCTAATACAAAATCACAAATAGCAAGAAGCAAGACCATCTAAACAGTGGCTGCTATAATAACTTAACCTATGGGCGAGAACACAGATGCTTGGATGGCACGTTAGCAGGTGCATCACATCCATCTAACCAAACAACTGCAGTGGCTTCCCCACTAGGGCCTATAGCTTCCCCTCCAACAGGGTTGGCCTGGTCTACAGTACCAGATGTGTGTTCCACCTCTAATGGATTGGCATTATATCCAATGGAAAATTTTCTGGTTGTACATGCAGTAGATGTGTCACTATTGCACTAGCTGGAACATTTTGTATGGCATGTTGATAGTGCAGCATGCAGGGTCCATCACTGAGCAGAATTATAGGGGACATTTCTCCCCCCGTCACCTGCATATTGCCTTCTGGTACTAGAGAATGTATTTTATATTAGGTTTTTTATACCTTTTTATTAAAGAAACTTTGACTTTTGTTTTCAAAAATCTTTCCTGGGTATATTTTTTAAAACAAAGTAGTTTAAACAGTTTTGAACCACCTTATTCTCTGTTGAAATTTTTTCAGTGGTGGGTATTGAACTCGGGGCTTCATGCATACTAGGCAAACATTTTACCACAGAACCACATATCAAATCACCTTTCTGGGGGGCATGTGTATTATGTGTGTGTTGTGCATGTGCATTTGTATATGTGTGTCTGCTTGTGTGAGGGGCGTCATGGGTGTGTAGAGGCCTAGAGTTGGTGGTGACTGTTTTTAATGATCTCTTTCCATTTTGTTAATTGAGGTAAGGTTTCCTTCTGAACCTGGGGCTCACCAATTCTGACTAGTCTAGCTAGCCAGTTTGCCACAGGGATCCCCTGTCTCTGCCTCCTGAGTATTGGGATTACAGGCAGTCAACACAACACTGCCTGGTTTTTAGGTAGGTTTTAGGATCCAAATTCTGGTCCTCATGCTTGTACAGCCAAGACTATATCCCCTTGTCATTCTTTCTATTCCTCTAATCACCTTTAAAATATACTTTATCAGAAACTGATAGGCCTTTCTTGAAATTGCCATCACACTGAAATTGTTAGTGTTCTTACAAAGAATAAGGAGAATTTGGAGAAAGCTAATTTGTCCAAATTTAAACTTCATTAGAAGTTGGGAATGGTGGTACACACTTGCAATCACAGTACTTGAGAAGTTGAGGCAGGAGGATCACCATGAGTTTGAAGTCAGCCTAGGCCAACTTAGTTCCAGGTCAATTTAGTATATGAGGAGTGAGGCATTGTCTCGAAAACTCAAAAACATTTTTTTTTGTAAAATGAACTTCATTAGAAGGAAGAGCACCCAATACTTGACACCCTTTAATGAGAGCTGGGGAAAAGAAATTACTCCTTGAATTGAAGATTGTCTCTGTTATTTTCCTATTTATCTTTACAGAACACTCAAATATCACAATGTCTACTTTTCACCCAGTCACCTAGCAATCCTACTCTGTCAATAAAAAGAACAGTCCTCTGAGCTCCCATGGTTTTCTGTTTGCTGTTGAAAAACATGACCTCTTTCCAGTCCATAATTTATGCATATGGGAAGTAAACGATAGATTCTGGAAAGGAAAATCTTTGCTGAGGATCAGCATGGACCAAAGTTACCACAGCTCAGGGTTGAGGGTCCTTGTGTTAATCAGCTTCTTGTCACTGTGACACAGTACCTGAGCCAAAAACATAAGGCAGAAAAGAGTCATTTGACTCATAGTTTCAGTCCATGATCAGCTAGCTCCATTACTTTGAGGTGACACAAACATTTTATTTTCTTGTTCGTATAACAGGTCCCATGTTCTATGTTAGATAAAACCATCTGATGTGACTATAACTTGCCAATCTGAAGAAGTAAAATTTACCCTAAACCCTTCTTCTGAGAGAATAGGAAACAGAGAAAGGGAATTTCCTCTGAAAGGAAAAGGAAAAAGAGAGCTCTTGGATTTTACCTTTGTAACATAGGCTTTAAAAACTTAATGGATTGGATGTGTCTTGTCAACCCAGCTTCACATGTTGAAGTCTTAACCCTCATTGTGATAGCTCTAGGTGGCAGGGCCTTTGGAAGGTAATATGTCAGGATGGTGGCACCTTTACAAATGAGTCATCTTACTAAAAGGGCCCCAGAGAATGCTCTTGTCCTATTTCCACCATGCGAAGATATAGTGAGAAATCATCAAAGAGGGGACTCATCAGAAGCTGACGGTTCTGGCACACCATCTTAAATTTGCAGCCTCTAGAACTATGAAAAAGGAATTTCTGTTATTTATAAGCTATTTCACCTACAAGACTTTGCTATAGCAGTCCAAAGTGATGAAGCCACTAGATGACTTAAATTCCTGAATATACAAGTTCAAAAGATTCATGGTGTGCACTCCCAAGTGCTCAATAAATATTTCATAAAGGTTAATTATAGTCACTGAGAAATAAAAGGCAGCCAAGTGCACTGCCAGCTAGGCAGATGTATATTCAAATGGTGATGAGAGTCTGCTTGAGCCTCTTCAGGTTGCCACTGGTTACATACCTATGTTCCTACACCCCACTGTTCTGGCTGCTGTTCTCTATTCCTCTTGGGCATTACACTGCTGACTTTAGGTCAGTTTTTCTTCTGCCAGTCCCAAGCCTGTGCCCACTTATGTTTTGGGTATGGAATGGGGAAAAATGAAGCTGTTCCAGAATTTCACCCACTG